ATGTTACAAAAACGATTGAATGGATTAGTTTTGATATCTATTGAGCAAGACGTTCTAAAAAATATTGATTACGAAAGTTTAATTAGTAAGCTTGCTTACATGAATTTTTGCATTTCAAGCTTTACACACACACACACACACACACACACATATGGAAGTGTACGAAGAGACTAGTGGCATGGATGATTCTTTGTTGATGACGTACGAATTTTGATGAAGTTCTAGATATGTTTTCGAGCTTTTTTTAAGTTTTTCTTGTTGATGTATGTTAAAAAAAATGAATATTTAAATATCATATTTTTGCAATGAAATAATATTATTGAAATATTGACTGGAACCTTCAGATTTACCTTTGTTTATGTTCAAAGATCATATCCTACAACTTTTGAACTGGTTCTCAATCAGTTTCAAAATCTGGAGTAAGTAGACTAGATTCTTGTTAATAGTTTCCACAAGTTGGAAGGAGGCGTATGCAATCATAGATTTGCAAGACACATTCATTTATTGAAGTTCTTCTTCTTCTTTTTTGATTGACACGCCTCATCTTGTCAGCTCTAATTTTTATGAAAGGTCCATTCGTGCATAATTTTCACAAATAAGGCCTCGTTTGGTAATTATTTTTTTCAAAATGCATTTTCCTCTCTCTTCTTTTCAACCACACATTCTTTATTAAAATAATATTACACGTAAATCAAAAACTTTTTCTTATTTTTCAACCACACATTTTCCATCAATTTACTATTCAAAAATACATTTTTACATAAAAATATCTCCCAAACACCCTCTAAGTATAACTCATTGCATTTGTAAAGCTAAGTGGTTAGAGCAATAACATATATATTTATTCAAATTTAGGATTCAACATCAAAGGTTTCAACTTTTATGAAATCAAACTAACATTGAATTTTTGATCTAGTATTAATCTCGGGATCCGTTGGATTAGTTTTCATAAGAATGGACTACACTTAATCCCACAATTTTTATCAATTTTTCAGTACACATTTCACCCTATTTGGTGAGAATTAAAATAAGATTTTTAGTAGATTTGATAAAAATTAATAAAATATGTAGTTGAAAAATTTTAAATTTCATAAAATGTGCGATTAAAATTAGTTGTTAACTTTGACTTATATTAGAATTAGAATTTTAATTTCTACCAAATAGATGCTCAATCAACATTTATCCAAATCTATTATAAATATGGTTTTTAATTAAATCGAACCAAAACAAGCCAAACAGAGGTTTAGTGATCGCGTGACTATTTCCTATAATATTCAGAGCTTGTTTGAATCCAATTTTTTTTGCCCAAAATACATTTTAGAGTAGTATTAAATAGAGAATATGTGGTTAAAAAATAATGAAAGATTTTATATTTGGGTATAGTATTATTTTATCGAATAATGAGTGATTGAAAATAAGGAAAAAAATGTATTTTGAAAATAATGAAAACTAAACAATGGCTCAGTGACAACACGTGACGATGTCCAATAAAATTAAACTTATCCATAGTTTTAAAATTCCCAATTCAAAAATCGAATTTGAAAGTCTTTTTTCCAAAAATCAGATAATTTAAATATCTTAATATTATAAAATTTAAATTAATTTAACTTTAACACCTATACCCATTCCATCCCCAACCCCACAAAACCCTATTCCATCTTTATTTTCTGCCCCCATACCCAACATCGACCGTCGTAGCGACGAGCACATCTTCGACGACATGCCGTTGGCATTGTCGTGCTCTCTCCCTCTCTCTCTTCTATATCTATTTCTCTGTTGTTCACCGTTCGTGGTCATTGTCGTGCGCAAGCGGCGCTAATGACGGTGTTGGTGGTGCACAGGCGATTGGCGGTTTGCAGCAACAGTCTAGCAATGAAATGATAGGGGTTTGGTCATGATCTGGTGGTGATCTATAGTAGCGACGATCTGGTTGTGAATGACGGGATCTGACCGCGATACATAGCTATGACGGGAGCTTGGGGGAAAAATCTATCATTTGGCCACTGTGCGATGTGCAGTGGTTGTTTAAATTGTGGATGTTGTTTGACGACGATTGTGTACTGGTTGTTTGACAGCAATTATGTGAAGTATTCTTGATTTTTTTGGTGGCTGGTGTCGGTTTGTTTGAATGGTGGAGATAATGGTGGTGCCGTCGATTGTCATGAGGTGGTGGTGGCGGTTTTGGGGACTGCTATTAGCAGCGATGCTACCGAAGGCAGTGGTGAGGTGGTGGTCACAAATGGTGGTGGTTGTCACTGATTATTTGGTTTATTATGATCAATAAAATCAATTAATATGTGACTAATGAAATAAATAATCTGTAACCAATAAAAAATGTATGGCCTGAAATTGGTAAAGTTATGATTAATAATTTGATAATTTGTGACCTAGAAATAATTTGATATTTTGTGATCATGAAATAAATTTGTGACTTATAAAATTTGTGATATATGACCCAGGGAATAAAATGTGACTTATTGATTTGATAAATTTGTGATCGAAAAATAAATTGTAACATATAAAATTTGTGATTGGTGACTGTAGTATTTGTAATTGTAATTAATACATAATTGTGACCATAAATTATTTATTATTGTGATCTTAATATATTTAATTAATTATTTCGTAATAAAACTTAATTAATATCTGATTTTTTAAATAATAAATATCGTTTCTTAGGTTTGAAATCGGTTATACGTAATCTCTTAGATATGAAATTTTCCCTTTTTTATACATTGTTCATGTCCAAAAAATAATTGCGACCTTCGTAAAAAGATATGCATCTCAAGTCTTATCCCTAAATCCAAACCCACCTACTATCTTCTCAATAAAGGCATAGAACATTCTAATTCTAAAAATCGCCCCATTATTCTCATTCTTTTTCTCCTCACGACGACTTCATCAATAGAACTATAGAATCAATTTTAAGTGCCATAGTGTTTATATAGTTTTTATTATTATTATTATTATTATTATTTTAAATAGTCGGGAAATCTAAACAAAATCTAGGTTTCAAACCAAAATAGCATTTAAAAGATTATTGATTTGTCTCTATTACAAAGACATATTGCATCACATGTATGACTATTTTCAATGAATTATATTGTCTAATTAACTTACATGTGAATTTACTAACTCTAATTTAACACAAATGTTAGTCTACTTATTTTGATAGATTTCAAATTGGTTACTCATTTTCTAGTTGTTCAAATTCCGCATTAAATTTTACAGCTCTTGAGATACACTCAATTTCTACTTACTATTTTTCATTTTTTTAAAATTTACGAATAGAACGTCCACCTTCTGCTAAAAAGGAAAATCATTATTTTCGTTCTTTAAAAAACGGGCTAGTGAAAGTACACTTGATTGACAATTCCTAAAATGCAACACTTTATGAATGAAAATTTGTTGAGAAAATAGATTTAGATTAAATTGTGAATATTATGTCTCAATTTCTCGACAAGAACAGGTTAAATAAATAAATAATATCCTTTAATGATTTTTTTGTTATATATAAATCTTATTATATTGGCTTTCTTTCAATCCTCTTAACAAAAATCATGGATCCACCCTTGCCTCGAACATAATTCAACTCAATATTTGTAACTAACTAGTTCTATGCTTTTGCTAGGTGATTGATTGGATGGCGAAGTTTTTACGAGTGAAGGCAATTGGCCTAACCATTCCTTCAGCTTATTTAGACAAGGCTTCAAGGTGACAAAGATTATGGTTCTAGTGTCTTCAAGCCTATCGGTGAAGTGTGCATGGAATGGCTTGATGAACGAGCAAACAGACTAGTTATTTATGTTTCGTTTGGAAGTTTGGCTGAATTAGGAGCCTAGCAAATGGAAGCTTAAAAACGTGCAATGAGTACCTCTTGTGGGTCATTAGGTCATCCGAAGAAGCTAAGCTTCCCAAGAACTTTTCAGAGGAGACGTCCAAGAAAGGACTAATCGTGTCATGGTGTCCACATTTAGAAGTTTTGGCACATGACGCAATAGGGTGCTTTATCACACATTGTGGTTGGAATTTCACATTGAGTTTCGGAGTTACTATGGCGGCAATGCCTCAGTGGACTGACCAAAGTACAAATGCAAAGTTTGTTAAGGATGTTTGGAAAACGGGAATCAAGGCTAGGCAAGGCACGAAAGGTATAGTCGAACAAACAGTGATTGTTCGTTGCATAAAGAATGTCATGGAAGACAGAGGCGAAAAGATGAGAAAAAAATGCGAAAAAATGGAAAGAAGTTGCAAGGGAGGAGGTTCAGATAAAAAAAACATTGAAGAACACTCATTAATCCTCCAGCAAAACTAATTTTATTGAGCATAAAGAGTCAAATTTTGAAGTGGAATTTGATGGGTTTAGGGGTGGAATAAGATGTGAGACAGGTACGGCCATATGAAAATGGGTTTTTGGAATATAGTTAATATCGCCGAGGGCAAGGATAAGTCACATTTTTTGCATGATTGAAAACAGTAACTATTCGAATTTTTTAACCACCCATTTTCCAAAAATTTATTGTTCAAAAACTCATTCTTTCCAAAAAAATTCAGTCAAACAAGGGCATAAAGGTCGCTTCCGTGTGTTCAAGCAATTTTAGCCTATTTTCTTTAGTACAGTCTACTACTATCCATCTTCTTTAACCAATGTATAATTAGCGGTTGGTTATATGTAAATGTGGAGAGTCGTAGCCCCTGCTCGACCACCATTAAAAGAGTTTTTTGAGAAAATGAGTTTCTGAATAGCAGTTTTTTGGAGAATGTGTGATTAAAAAGTAAGAAAAATTTTGAATTTATGTGTCAAATACTTTATTGTAAGAATATGTTGTTGAAAATGAGAGTTTGGGGAAAAAAATTCTAACAATGGTTGTCAATCACATGCTTAGTAAAAGAAAAATACAAACAAGAGACAGAAATTTCAACTATCAATTGCAAGTGTGTTTCTGGACGCTAGCATCAGATGATATTGACATTCCTTGGAGGGACTTGCGACCATCCAAAATCACAAATACCACAAGTTTTTGTTTATCCTCTCTCTGTATTGAAAGAGAACTTGCATAGAACACTAAGTCCTCATATTCAATTAGCCTTAGAATGGAGAAGGGAACAGAAGAATACAAAGCTCATTGCTTAATCTTGCCATTTCCTATCCAAGGTCACATAAATCCTATGCTCCAATTCGCTAAGCGTTTGAGGCATAAAGGAGTCAAAATCACACTAGCTGCAACAAAACATATATTCAAGACTATGCAAGATTTTTCTGGTTCTGTTTCTGTTGAAACGATTTCTGATGGATACGATGAAGGTGGGCTTTCTGCAGCAAAGAACTATGATGAATATTTGGCTCGTTTTCGCAAAGTTGGGACAGAAACTCTGGAAGAACTTATCAAAAGGCTTAAGAACTCGTGCTGTGCCGTTGATTGTATAGTTTACGACGCGTTTATTCCATGGAGTCTTGATGTAGCCAAGACATTGGGATTGGTTGGTGCTGCATTTTTCACACAATCTTGTGCTGTGGACCAGATTTACTACCATGTCTACAAAGGGGATGTGAAACTTCCACTTTCAGAGAGTGAAATTTCGATTCCAGGATTGCCTCCATTGAAGCCCTCAGATATGCCTTCTTTTCTTCATGTTCATGGATCATACCCTTCTCTAAAGGATATGGTTGTCAATCAGTTCCAAAATATTGAAAAGGCAGACTGGCTACTTTTCAACACCTTCCACAAATTGGAGGAAGAGGTAAAACTACTTACACATCATTTTGAATATTTTGTTTCAATTTGGATATGCCTCTGTTTCTCTTTCGAGGGCGATATAATCAGAAACGAGCAAAGTATGCACATATTTACACTGATTCGCTCTCAATATGAGAATTACATCCATTTGCTTATGTAACTAAGTTATCATGACTAAACACACAGAATGAAGTTTAATATCGATTTTTGCTACTTAGGTGATTGATTGGATGGCAAAGTTTTCACCAGTGAAGGCAATTGGACCGACCGTACCATCGATGTACTTAGACAAGCGAATTGAAGATGACAGAGAATACGGTATTAATGTCTACAAGCCAATCACTGGTGCCTGCATGGAATGGCTCGATAAAAGAGAATCCGACTCAGTGATTTATGTTTCATTTGGAAGCTTGGCTGAGTTAGGAAAAGAGCAAATGGAAGAATTGGCATGGGGCTTGAAACTAAGCAATAAGTACTTTTTGTGGATTGTTAGAGCGTCAGAAGAATCAAAACTTCCTAAAGATTTTGCAGAAGAGACTTGTGAGAAAGGCCTAATACTGTCTTGGTGTCCTCAATTGGATGTTTTGGCACATAATTCAGTAGGATGTTTTGTCACACATTGTGGGTGGAATTCTACATTGGAGGCATTGAGTTTGGGAGTCCCAATGGTGGCAATGCCACAATGGACCGACCAAAGCACGAACGCGAAGTACGTGATGGATGTTTGGAAGATGGGAATTCGAGCGCTACCAGATGAGAATGGGATGGTTAGTCGAGACACGATTTGTATCTGCACGAAGCACGTTATGGAAGGTGAGACAGGGGAAGAGATCAAGAAAAATGCCACCAAATGGAAGGAATTGGCTAGAGAAGCAGTTGATAAAGGTGGAAGCTCTGATACAAACATTGAGGAGTTTGTTTCTAAATTAGTCCATGGAGGTGAAAGTTCTGATACAAACGTTGAGTAGTATGTTTCTAAGTTACTCTATTCTTAATTTCAAGTCACTGTTATCTTCCCAATAAAGTGTGGAAATAAAGCACGAGTTTTGGCATTTTAATGGGATTTTTTACATATAATATTATTTAATTGAAAATTGTGTACTTGAAAATAAATCAAGAAAAAATACATTAAATTAAAATGGAGTCCAAATCAGGCTAAAATATTAAAGAAACATTCATCACAATTTTAATTTTATTGTACTTATAATATATGTTATCTATAATACCAATGTTTTAAAATTCGGCCCGAGCATCAAATCAAAAAAGAAACAGGGTCAAAGGTCAAAAAGTTCGAACGAATCAAACCAGGGTGAAAAGGAAGTAATAAATAAATAAATAAATATTTATAAACATTTTAATTTTATTTTGACAACAATATATAATTAAATTTTCATATCACCAATCCAAAATAAATATTAATATGTCAGATAATTGTTTTTTAGTATAAAACTTGATAGTTTAATTTGTTGGATCACTTAAAACTTCATTCCAATTTTACTAAATAATTTCGACAATCTACAGCAATCTCAATCATATGCCATTTGATTACGTTTCCAATGCGAGGCGGGTTAACTTATGGCCACAACTTAAGTGACAAGACAAGGAGACAAAATAATATTAATATTAAAATCACATCTATTTGTCGCTAGGTGCTATACATTTACGGTCCTCTCACAAAATGTGGATCCACGATTATTTTACGTCTTGATGTATTCTTCGTCTTTGCATTTTAATAAAAGTATCAATTTTAACTTCTTCTTTTTTTTAATATTTAGTGGTGCATGCTTCCCCACGAGGCACAAATATAAAAAATTATCCTATTTGTCTATATATTGGATCATTTATGCAATTACTATTTCATTTTCATCTAAAAATTATTATTTTCTTTTCACGTCCATGTATTCCTCCATAAATTAATGTTCAATTGAGTCTTCCAACATATCATTTACCAAATATTTTTATTTTTTCATATTTTACACTATATTATGTATTTTTATTAATTATATTCGTATAATCCTCTCTTCGAAGAAGCTTCTTCGCAAAAAAGATAAAAAAAAAAATAAAAAATTATTGCAATGGATTCTAATAACTCATGCACTTGACTTTTTTTTTTTTTTGCGCTAAACTACTCGAACTTAAAATGAATAAAAAGTTGATTCTTCGATACGAAATAACAAATAAAAGAAAAAAATTATTTTAGTTGATTTTTTTATGAAAATGAATAAAAATATTAATTAGAAGATAGCAATTAAAATTTTTATTTAGTTTTGCAATGTTGGAAGAGTCAATTTTATGACTCTCACATAATAAGGAAATAATTTTCTAAAGAGAAAAACGTCAAGCCCATGTTTAGTAGGGATATATTATAATTCTTAATTTCAAGTCACTGTTATCTTCCCAATAAAGTGTGGAAATAAAGCACGAGTTTTGGCATTTTAATGGGATTTTTTACATATAATATTATTTAATTGAAAATTGTGTACTTAAAAATAAATCAAGAAAAAATACATTAAATTAAAATGGAGCCCAAATCAGGCTAAAATATTAAAGAAACATTCATCACAATTTTAATTTTATTGTACTTATAATATATGTTATCTATAATACCAACGTTTTAAAATTCGGCCCGAGCATCAAATCAAAAGAGAAACAGGGTCAAAGGTCAAAAAGTTCGACCGAATCAAACCAGGGTGAAAAGGAAGTAATAAATAAATAAATAAATATTTATAAACATTTTAATTTTATTTTGACAACAAAATATAATTAAATTTTCATACCACCAATCCAAAATAAATATTAATATGTCAGATAATTGTTTTTTAGTATAAAACTTGATTACGTTTCCAATGCGAGGCGGCTTAACTTATGGCCACAACTTAAGTGACAAGACAAGGAGACAAAATAATATTAATATTAAAATGACATCTATTTGTCGTTAGGTGCTGTACATTTACAGTCCTCTCACAAAATATGGGGTCCATGATTATTTTATGTCTTGATGTATTCTTCGTCGATTAAATAGTGATTCTAAATTGCATATTTAGTGGTGCATGCTTCCCCACGAGGCACAAATATAAAAAATTATCCTATTTGTCTATATATTGGATCATTTATGCAATTACTATTTCATTTTCATCTAAAAATTATTATTTTCTTTTCACGTCCATGTATTCCTCCATAAATTAATGTTCAATTGAGTCTTCCAACATATCATTTACCAAATATTTTTATTTTTTCATATTTTACACTATATTATGTATTTTTATTAATTATATTCGTATAATCCTCTCTTCGAAGAAGCTTCTTCGCAAAAAAGATAAAAAAAAAAAAAAAATTATTGCAATGGATTCTAATAACTCATGCACTGGACTTTTTTTTTTTTTTTTTGCGCTAAACTACTCGAACTTAAAATGAATAAAAAGTTGATTCTTCGATACGAAATAACAAATAAAAGAAAAAAATTATTTTAGTTGATTTTTTTATGAAAATGAATAAAAATATTAATTAGAAGATAGCAATTAAAATTTTTATTTAGTTTTGCAATGTTGGAAGAGAGTCAATTTTGACTCTCACATAATAAGGAAATAATTTTCTAAAGAGAAAAACGTCAAGCCCATGTTTAGTAGGGATATATTATAATATAAATCAAAGTAAACAATTAATTTTAACCACATATTTCATATGACTTAAAAAAAATTCTATTCATTATTTTTTTATGAAAATTTATTTAAAAAATCTAATATTAATCCTCACCAAATAGAGAATTAATAAAAATCAATAATTCGAAACTGGGATGAAAGTGTGACATAAGGTAATACATACGGTGTGATTTGTTATTTCAATTGAAGACGGTTCTGTATGTTCAACTATTTATATGTGTATTTTGTAAATTTCCAGGACATTAATGCAATGTTACGTCATAATTTAGAACCTTAAGTATGATTGTCTCAAATAGTAGGATCAAAAGTTCGATAATGTTATAAACTAGAGAGAAAAAGTGAACAGAAATTGAAAAGTAATAAACTTGTGCGTATTATATTGAGAATCAAAATCTCATATTTATAAAGAAGAATTAAGGATACAGTAGTAATAAAAACGAGGATTGTATGGATATAATTATCATTTATTAATAAACATATAATTTACAGCATTTATCTTTGAATTATACATTACAAAATATCTATCTCGTAAAAATATGGTTAAGAAAATTAATGGAACAAAATTCGAGCTAAGGAAAAAGAGTATAGCTGCTCTTCGTGATTTTAATAAATGAAAATTCTTATATCGAGTCATCCATGTCATGTACGTCAATATCTTTAATATTACAATTCTGGTGAAACATGTCTCGTGTCTTGTTATAGCCTTCAAATTATATTGTCTTCATACATGATATTTATCAATCTTTATTTGTCTTTAGTTACATAATGATTTCTTGAAAAATAAATTACGTTGTTGCTCTCTTCGGGAGTCATTCACAATTTGTAATATATAAGAGTATTTATTTTTAGGATAGATGTCTTGTAAGTTATGGACATCATTACAAGAAGAATATACTTTGTTAAAACTTTATTATAAAAAAACATGTGAAAAAATCCTAATGAAAGGAAAATAGATTTTTTTTTTTATTACGCTACAAAAATTGTCTCATTAAAAACATTGTCAAGAAAATTCAAGGAAACAAAATCTTGATCAAGAAAAAAAAAGTACAACACATATCATGATAATATCACTCTGATTATGCTTCAGGTATATTAATTTTTTTAGGGATAATATTAATAATAATATCATATGAGTTGACTATTATAGTATTTCAAATTTCATGTGTCGTCATGATAACAAAATTAGGATTTATGATTGCATCCACCATGAAATTTATTCAATTTATTATTTTAAGACTCATATATTACATATGACGACTTCATTCCTCGTTTACTTTTTGCATAAGAATAAATCTTCAAATTTTTGGACTACACATCTAGAAACTTCAAGTTTCTCTAATAAATTGATATTTACTAGGATTGTGTCCTTTTAATGGCCAATCAATACTTCACTTCAACGAATTTATTTCGATTCCTTGATATTCGTAATATGAAACGATACATCACGTACAAAAGTATGGTCTATAACTTTTTCTTTTCGATTCTATATCCATAACAAAATAACTTATTAAGATATCTCAATTTTCAACATTTCAAGTACCTGAACCTTTTCTGAAGTGTTACATCTTGTTATGTCTATATATCTCCTAAATGGATCATCTTTATTTTTTTGTTCAATTTTCTTTTGGAGAATTTGTCCTAAAATCGAATGCATTCACGCTTCAAGCATTTTATATATCAAATATAAATTTACCCCCTGTTTGAGCTCCATTTTTTTAAAAAATATATTCTTAAACGGTAATTTGACATCATTTCAACCACATATTATTTAATAAAATAATATTAATCGTAAATTCAAAATATTTTTCTTATTTTTTAACCACACATTTCTCATTAATACACTATTCAAAAATACATTTTTATAAGAAGAATGAGGCTCAAACAAGAGGTTAATAAATTTTCCTTCTAAAACATCAATTCAAGCTGAAGCATTTAAAGTTGGTGTGTGGAATATTCGTAACAAAATAATTTATTAAGACATCTCAATTTTCAACATTTTCAGGTATTTAAACCTTTTTTAAAGTGTTACATTTTGTTATGTCTATATACTTCCTAATGGGATCATCTATATTATTCGTTCAATTTTTATTTTTTTGGAGAATTTGTCTTAAAATCAAATGTATTCACGTTTTAGGCATTTTATAGATATATCAAATTTAAATTTAATAAATTTCTTTCTAAGATATAATTCAAGTTGGAGCATTTAAAGTTGGTGTATGGAATATTATTGATATATTTAATCAATAAACGCATCTAAATAAATTAACTTTTGAAGTCCTGATTTGATATATTTTCGAGAGGATCTAAATAATATAATAATTTATTTGTTTTCAACTTCTTAATTCATTCCCTAATGCTAAGAAAATAGTTCAATCAAAATGACAGACAGCAAATTGCAC